AGTTTAAAGATTCATACCATTTCTAGTTCTCGCTCTTCTTCATGCTTGGATTCCAGATGTGAGCCACCAAGTGGTGGCTGGGAATTGAACTCAGGATCATTGGAAGAGCAGGCAGTGCTCCTAACCACTGAGCCATCTCTCCAGCCCTGAGTTTAAGCAGTGTGCATGCTTGCCATGGTTCTGACCTACTCTTTTCTCTCCAGAACCATAAACCTAAATGAACCCATGTATCTGTCACCTTGGCCATGGTGTTTCATTGCAACAAAAGAAGCATAATAAGGCAAACTTTTTAATTGTACTGAACACATACAACTATCCCCTTAATTATTCACTAAACAATGTAGTATAAAAATTTGATGTATAATATTTTCAATGTGTTATATTTTATTAGTTATTTAGACATGGACATATCAGGAGAAAGCACCTTGGTTATATGCAAATACTGAGTCATTTTATATGAAATACTTTGTCACTGGAGATCATTGGAACGTCATGGAGTCCTGGGACAAATCCCCTCACTGTATGATTTTTAAGACCTAAAACGTCAAAGTTTTAAGATGACTGTCATTTTATATACACTAAGATTTTGATGCTGTCAGTTAAGACACTACCAATGAGGAGGTGCTCTGATATCTGTGTGAAAGGAGCACGTGTGCACTGTATAGTATATGGGAAAGATGGGGTGGTATTATTGAAGATCTCTAGGAGGTAAGGTTCTGATTTGTTTTTTCTGACTATGTGTGTATGGAAACTCCCCACATATGACCCTGCCCCACTCTGACCCCAGTCTCAAAGGCCAGAGGGAGTGGTCCTCAGCTTCAGAAAAACCAGGTTTAAAATCTCTTGGCTTGCTCTGCATCAGGTTTCAAGCCTGAATTCAGGATGTGAGGATGTAAGGAACCCGTTGTACCACTCCTGGCATTTGAAGCCTCTGCCAGAACGCCAGGGCAACAGGAAACACAATACAGTGACAGATTAGATAAGAGCTGCTAACAGATGAAAGAGAAGCAGTTGAATGATGGGGGTCCATGAAAAACAATACTCAGTCTGAGGGATAAGTTAAGTAAATATGCATCACTATATATGAGGGGTTTTTGTGCATTTGAAGATAATCATAAATCCCACAGTAATGAGATTAGCTCAGTAGTTTATCCCTTTGATAATAATCAGATATTTTGAAGTTATTTTTACCTCATATTATGAAGAAAATATAATTAAGCAATAAATATTACAGTACTAAATCTACTATTCAAAACATGGTAAATTTTCATTTAAGCTGCTTTACTGCATTCCTTCTTTTATTAAATCTTGGGACAATTTCATGCTCTTTCTGAAAGAATACACCTTTCTTCCCTTGCTTAGTTACAGAGCTGGATCTATTTAATTCACTGGTATAGTACAAGATTATTTTATATTTCAAAGAAATTTGTAACTCCCTAACCTTTGCCAACAATGTATGCCTGATCCTCCAAAAAGGGATCATAGTTTATGATCCTTTTGATGTAGAACTTTGTGGAAGGCTACAAGTCATTACTGAATCCCCAGGGGTGGTTGCAAAGATATATTGAGAATATGCAGATGCCTGTAGGTGATTTCCTCACAGAGTTAAAGACATCATGTTCACCTAGAGCTCACTTCTTAATTTATAGCTGCCAACACAGACCTACCGATGTTTACATAGTAGACACTCGTCCCCAGTGCAATAGGATTGAGAAGAGAGGCCACAAGAGTTTTGTCATCATACACGGCTATTGGTAAAGAAGGTACAGGAACAGGATCTGTTTAATATTGAACTCAGCCTCCTTCCTTCCCCCACCATCTCACACATGCTTTCTTGCTTTGTTACCTTCACCCAAGGGATAATACTTTCAGAGGACACAGTTGAGATGTGGGCCCCCTTGACTTTTGATTTCTCAGTCTCCCGAAATGATAGACATAAATCTCTGTCTTTATAAATTAATCAAGTCAGGTCTCTAATAGAGAACTGTAAAACACAAGGACATAGGCTTTGTAACTAGACTAACCTTAGATTGGGTCATTAACTTGGGAGTGTGGGACCAGCACAGTCACTCTTCACCTGGAATTAGATCAGTTTATATATGTGAATTAAATGTACTATTCCAGGCCAGGTTTTAGTCATGCAGATGCGGGCATATGGCCATTTGACTGGTGCTTTCTAGTCCATTTGGATTTCAAAGATCTCACATGGCCAACAGTGTCCCGCACTACCATCTCGCCAGCAAGAACGACGCGGCATACTCAGGATCCTTCTGCAGTAAAGCTTTAATGCATCTTGAGAGGGAGAGCATAAGCTTACAGAGCAGAGACCCCAAACATCCAAAACCCAACCCTAATATAGGTTTACAACCTTCGCCTCGGACGTGTCACCTCCTGATTGGCTGCAGCCCATCAGCCCATATGACGCCACGGGAGAGGCAGAGGCCAAGGGAGGGAAAATCACCCTGCACCTGCACACTGATTTGTTTACTCTCAACACCAGCCGGATGCAGGCGCCATCTTGTAATGGAGAATGCAGGGACGGCTCCCTACACAACAGAGTACTCCAGTTCTGCTCCCAGACTCAAATTTATTATTTGCTCTTTCATTAAACAATTTTATTTATGTTACTACATAAATATGTTACTTTTTTTTTTTTTTTAGATTGTAGTCCCATCAGAAATGGATGAGTATTCCCCTCACACCACATTCTCACTACATTCTTGTTAGCATAAGCTGTTGTTTGTTTTACTGATCTTGGCCAGTGTGACTGGTGTAAGATGAAATCTCAAAGCATGTTGAACGTTTAAGTGTTCCTGAGCCATTTGTGTTTCATCTTCTGAGAACTCCATGCTTTGTTTTTTTTTTTTTTTTTTTTTTTTTTGTTTTGTTTTGTTTTGCTTTATTGATGCCCAGCTTTTGTTTTGTCTTGTTTTTTATTTTGTTGTTTTAGTTTTTTATATATTTTGGATATTAGCCCTCTATCAGATGGGTAGTTGGCAAATGTCTTTTCCCATGCTGTAGCCTGCCACTGTCTATAAATGATGGTGTCCTTTGTCATGCAGAAACGTTTCAGTTTTATGAGGTACCAGTTATTAGTTGTTGATATTACTGCTTGTGCTAATGGTGTTTTGTTCAGAAAGTGTTTTCCCGTGCCAGTGAGTTCAAGGGCATTTCCTTCTTGCAGATTCAGTGCACCTGACCTTATATTGAGGTTTTGATCCATTTATAGGGTGAAAGATATGGATCTATTTGCATTTTTCTAGATGCAGCCATTCAGTTCGACTAGCACCATTCATTGAAGATGCTGTCTTTTTCCCAGTGTGTATTTCTAACTTCCTTATTAAAAAAAAAAAACGTGGTGTCCATAGGTATGTGGACTTTTAGCCAGGTCTTCAGTTCTGCTCTGTTGGTCAGTGTGTTGGCTTTTATGCCAACACAATAGCTCTGAAGTACAGTTGGAGATTAGGAATGCTGATACCTCCCACAGTTCTTGATTATTATTTTGATTTTTTTTTTTTTTTGCTATCCTGGGTTTTGTTATTTCCTCTCTCTCTCTCTCTCTCTCTCTCTCTCTCTCTCTCTCTCTCTCTCTCTCTCTCTCTCTCTGTGTGTGTGTGATATGAAGCTGAAAATTTTCCTTTCAATTTCTGCAAAGAATTGTGTTGGAATTTGTATGGGAATTGCATTGAATCTGTAGATTGCTTTGATAAGATTGCCATTTTCACTATATTAATTCTACTGATCCGTGAGCATGGTCCATACCATGGCCAAGACTGTCCCATTGCCTGATATCCATGTATCAATGTATGTGTGTGTGTGTGTATGTATGTGTGTATGTATCTATGTATCTATCTATCTATAATATCTATCTATACATACACACATACACACATACACACACACACATATGACAGCTGTGCCATATACCATATCATAAATAAATATTTTCTGAACATATTTGTGAATATGCTCTGGGTTCTCCAGGTACATCAGGCTAATGAGTGGGTCAACCAGATGGCCTAAGGCCCTCCAGGGATTGTGTATCTTAACTAAGAAGGCCTCTTTAGTTATACATTGAGTTCTCATGGGATTAGTCTGTGGTACTAAGGACTTCCCACCTTTTCCTCTTTGGGGAACCATTTGTTTCTGTGTTTCCTCTAAGTATAGCTCTTCCAGCTTCTGCATGTTACCACCTCAAAAACAGAAAAGACTTTTGGGTGCTCTGATTGTTTGCAGGTAAAGGGCATCGAAGCAGTCAGTTTGCATGCATCCCATACAGGGTAATGGCGTTCTTGGGTTTTATTGTTGTTGTCATCTGTTGTTCAGCTCTGGGTTTGAAAACCAGGCAGGTTGCCTTGCTGATGCCTTCAGGGAAGGAAGGCATATGTGAAGTCTCACACTGTGTTTCTTTCCCTGGGTGGGCTTCATTTTCTGCTGCCTGAACCCATGAGGCAGTTAAAGGTGAATCTGTATGACCCAGGTAAATTCTGTGACAGCTTACTTTGTTTATATTTTTAAAAAGATGTCTTTTGTTTTCAGGATTATGTGTGTAAGTATGTGTTGAGGTAGTATATGTATATGTGAGTGCCAGTACCTTCTGGATGGAAGGTACCTGGAAAGCCCTGGAGCTGCAGTTACAGGTCGTTGTCAGCTTCTGGACATGGGAACTGAACTCAGGTCCTTATTAGAGTAGTACATGTCACTGAGTCACCTCTCCAACCCATTGTTCACGTTCTGCCTTTCCCTTAGCACTCAGGTTTTTTTTTTTTTTTTTTTTTTTTTTTTTCTTTAAATTGTTTCTTTTAAGCTTCTCAGTACTTTTTTCTTGGAGTTCATCACACGTTTAGGATGAGGGGTTTGTTCTTGCTTTCCTTCTGGTGAATTTTTCATTGTCTTTTAGTGTGATGTTAAATCAGTATATGGAATTCTCCAGGTTACAGAAATGGAAGACGGCTGAATGTATAATCCTCACTTTACGTTTTTGTCACTTTTGCCTGAAGGCTTGTTGGAGACAGAACCACTGCAAGGAAGAGATGAGGACACACTAGCCAGAGCTGACTTCTCTAGCATGCTCTCTGAGGAGGAGAAGGAAGAGTTAAAGGCAGAATTAGCTCAGGTATGTTTAGTACTCTCCTATTTCTATCTTTTGCGCAACACTGGTCCTGTATTGCAATTATGTTGTCTTTCCTGCAGTGAAGCGTCATAAGTGAACACAGTACAGGATGATTCATCTTTTCCCAAGGTGTTTTTGCCATGCTGGTAGTGCCTACAGGGGTAAAGTGGATGGCAGTGCTGGGTAATCCACAATAACAATTAGTGTTAAGTATGTGTTTTTTGTTTTCCTTAGTGTAGAGATGTTGTGCAAAAATTAATTGCTTGTGAATCAGATGGAATATGTTGAAAACTGTGGGACAGATGTTGCATGCTTGTTATACTTGCATTCAGGATGCTGCAGCAGTAAGATGAAGAGTGGAGGTTAGCCTGGGCTATAGATGAATCCCAGGCTAGCTTGGACCACATAATAAGACCTTGTCTCAGAAGCAACAACAACAAAAAATAAGTAAGTAAACCATGGCATGGTTGTATTTTCCTTACTAAAAGCAGTTCTTCCCATTTTTTATTATTATTTTAACAAAAATATCAATCACAAGAGCAGCTGGCTTAGCTCTCTTGACAAGAATAACACTCTGGGGGTGGAGAAGTAAGCTCCAATTAATTAGAGTTTAATTGGAGCATGTGTAGCTGCTGTAGGGACCCATCCTAGAGGAAAGAAAAATGCCATATTCATCCTAAATACAGGTTAGTGCCAAGGCTTTTGCAGGTGGTACACTCTCACCCACAGACTCAAAGATTAGAGGTGTCTCCTTCTTGGACCGGGCTGGAGAAAAGCTCCGGGAACAGAGTGAAGCCGGAGGATAGGAGAGGTAGACATCATCACTCCTTCCACATCCAGTTCCCAGGGCAGGGGGCTCTTGTTCCCTGTGAAACAGTGACCCTTTCCCTTCTGCTCTTACCTTCCCACTGGCTCAGGACACAGCCTGGGGACCCCCCTCCCACAGCTGCTGCACTCTGATAGCTCACTGTCACAGTAAGGTCCTAACTGCAACAAATTGCTTTAAGTTTTATACTGTGATTTTATTATTTACATTGTGTTTCGTTGAGACTGAATCTTGCTATATAACCCAGGCTGATCTGGAACCAACATTTCCTTCTATCCAGCCTTCTGAGTTCGGCTCTAACAGCATTTACCAGTACACCTACTACAAGTTTTCATTTTATTTTTATTGACACATGGTAATAGCGTGTATCTATGGGGTACGGTGTGATAAATCCATACATGTGAGTAGCGTGTGGCAGCCGAATAAAGTTGCATCGTGTGTATCTGCTGCCTCACACATCTACATTTTTTTTTCCCATGGTGAAACCATTCAGTCTCCTAGTTATTTTGAAATACATAGTCAAATTTATCACCCTATTGTGCAGTGGAACCTCAGAAGTTATTCTTATCTGAAATAATTTTGTACCCTTTGACCATTTTCTCCTTATTTCTCTCTTTCCCTCCCTGGCCTATAAACAAGATTTTACTCTGCTTCTATGCTTTTCTTGTATCAAATATAGATGAGATTGTGTAGTATTTGTTTTTGTGTGCCTGCCCTTAAAATGATTTCATTTTTAAAATAAGAGACCACCTCAGTCCTCTAACACTACTGGGAAGTATTTTAGCAGGTGCACTGAGTGGTCACACATGCCAGAGTGCAGAACAGAGGTCACCTTAATGAGTAATAGGCTAACTTCACACGGTCTCTGACTCAGAATTCTGTTTTAAGACCTGTTTATGTCAACTGTGGTATCCAAAAATTATGTTCTGCAAACTACTACAGGCTAGTTGACTTGAAGCTGGACTGTAAATCCTTCTTTATAGGGCTTCAGTGTCAGCTCAAGAAGGCTTCTGTGACACAATGACTCCTATAAAGTGTCCTAATTTGCCTGGGTTCTGGGATTATTGGGATGTGCTTAGATACGTCTAAAAATTCAGTATGTCCTTGTATGCAATTGTGGGCATGTATTATTCTTATTATCAGTGGAAAAGTAAGCATTGGTTTGAGATGGATGCTTCCTGAATGCAAACAACCAGCAACATCTCAGAATTCCCTGTCGTCTTGGTCACAGCTTTATGCTTCCAGCCAGTTTCATTTCTGATACTTTTGAGGTCAGAATTCTGATGGTAACACCAGAGATTCTTTGTAACTGTGCTCAGGTTTCTGAGATTCATGATGCCATCCTTCACAGTGCACTGGCCTGTAATGCTTTCTCATTTATTTCTGTTTGCTTCAGAGATAAAGTTAGCATCCTGACTTCCAGATACGCTTGTACAAGGTCCCTCACCCATTTCTGCTTCGACCTCGCTAGCCCCACATTGGCCTTGCCCTTTTCCCAAATCAGCTTTCCCTTACCTTTCTCTGCTCTTGCAAGAATGTCCTGCCTATGTACAGCCAGCACCACAGGGCCTTTACACTGCAGACACATTCTGATTTTACTGTCAGTGCTAGGATCCAGTTGTCCCAAGAACGCGCAGAGATCACTCAGCTGTCTTAGCACTTCCCAAAAGCTCAGCTCCTGTCTCAACCCTCCACAGGGTCGCTCAAAAGTAGCCCTTCTCTGCATCTGGAAGGGCTAGTTGGATTTCTCAGGCATAGGTGATGAAGATTCCTCAGAGGCCGGTAGATAATTCAGCAAGTAAAGGTGCCTGAGGCCGAGCCTGGTGACTTGAGTTAGATGCCTGAGACTCATATAGTGAGAGCAGAGATCAAGTCCCACAAGTTGTCTTGTGATCTCCACGTGTGTCTCATGGTATGTGCACAGCCTCTTCACTCATACACACATACATTAATAAATCTTTTAAGAGTTCAAAGATTCCTCAGAGGCCAGTCTTTTGGAGATCTTCCTTTGTATCGGGTGGCAAAACGAGACCTCTGTGTATAAGGACTGCTTACTCGGGCTGTTTGTCCAGAGCAGCAGTCTTGGGTCCTGCCAGAGACCCAGACTCTGGGTCACTCCTCTCCATGGCCCGCTCATAGCTTCCCGTTACTTCTGGCAGTCCCCTGCCTCCCCCACTTTGTTGTGAATAGCCCAATGAGGCTGCCATCAGATCTACGCCTGTCCAGCCATCTACACAACCAGCACGTCTTGAACACTACTTGAACTGTAGTTTCTTTTATGATGGTTTACTTGTATTCTTAAAATTCCCTGGACATGAAACCAATGTCCCCCCTGTCCTGGTGCGGTGGTGTGTGCATCGGCGTGCAATGACCGCTTGAGTTGTTTTGCAGCTTAACCAAAGCTCTGTATTGCAAATGCCCAAAGTGGAGTATGTGACTCTATGGATCCAATCACTATGTCACAAGGTCCTGTTTCATGTCCAGTATTTGTTCTGCCTCATTCCCAGCTGCTTAAGATCTTCAAATGTCTAATTATCTCTCTCTTTGCTTAATAGTTCTTGCTGTCATCCATTTCCCTTTTTGCTTCCTCTGAGCTGCAGGTGGTGATGCACAGTGTTCTGTACTGTGCCTGACTCTGGAAGGACGGAAGTGTGGGCACCAGCACTGGCGATTCGTGGTTATATAACAATTCAGTATCGCCGGTGTCCCTCGACAAAATGACTCAAGAAAAATGGGTATTAATAGGAGTGGGAAAAGTTCCAGCCAGCATTATCCATAGCAGAGCCTAGTCTGAAGTTCCCTCCCCTCTTTTGGTCTCTTCCTCCTTGGGTGGGAGGGCTAAGAACACATATTGCCTTCAGGCTCCTTAGATTGGAAAAGACTGACTTGGCCCTGGGCCTTTCTCTCTCAACTCCAATACAGTACCAGCATTTTAATCTCAGCTGTCCAGGGATCTCAGCCAAAAGAGGCAGGCGTTGAAGCAGTATGCAAAATGATTTACTGACAACGAACAGATTATCAAAGCATTTCTTCTGGCTTTATGTTATATCTTCCTTACAATGTAGCAATTAAAATAGAAAACTAAATTTTCAGTCTTACCATATAAATTGCATATTAAAGTTAATTTTTAGCTAATTCAGCTCAGTTATTTTGCTTTTCTTTTGTATTCTTACCAAGATAAGTTTATTCAACACAGTCAACATACAACATTCTATAGTCATTACTTCAGTCTCTTTCCAAAACACAAATTTCTGTGCCCCCCCCCCCCCGGAAAGGAAACCACAGACATCAAGCAGTTTTCATACATTGCCGCTCCCCTCGTCTCTGTCAACCACGATGCTGCCCTCCATCCCTGTGGTTACCTATCCTGAGCAGTTCATATATGTGTATTTACATGCTTTGTGAGCTTTTGATGTCTGGTTTATTTTTTAAGCCTAATATTTTCAAGGTTCATCCATGAAGAAACAAAGTCAAGGTTGATCCAGAAAGTAGCATGTATTAAGAGATCATTTCTTGGTATGGATGCAATGTGTCCCACTTTATGTATAAACAGAGTTTACTATGTTCAACCTTTGAGGGACATGTGGTTTGTTTACCCTCTTGGTTATAAGCTGTTTTGGTGTGAACATATGTGTGTTTTTAGTTTCTTGGGGCATACATGTGAAATGGTACTACTTCGAGAAACCAGAGTTTCTGACAGTGCTGAAGCCACTTTACTTTTCCATAGTGATGTATAAAGTTTCCATTCCTTCACATCTTAGCAAGGGAAAGATTATTCCAAAATTCTTTAGTGTGATTTATCTGCACTTCATCTCATTTTAGATTTGATATGACTAACAGAAATGCTCAGAAAACAGACTTCATATTTCATCTGGAGCAGAATATTTTGGGGTACTTATTGGATATTATAAGATGTCTGTCCTTGCTTGATACTTTGGAATCTCACAGTAATAAAAGTGGGGGCATGTACCTGGGGCTCTGCATTTTACACGTGCTCTAGGGCATTTTTTAAAGGAACTGTGGTTAAATCATTGCTATAATTGAACCCCCAAACATTGGGACTGGTTTATTTAGTTTCATGGCTTCAAAAGTGTTGACCTATAGTCAGTTGGCCATGTTGCTGGAGGCAACATGGATGCTATAGTAGCACATTGTGTCATGGTAGGAAAAAAAAAAAAAAAAAAGACAGTGGGAGAAACCAGCATCCCCAACATCACCCTTGAGGGCACACTCCACCTCTCTTCCATTAGATTATACTTCCCTAACTTTTTGTCACTTCCTAAGCTGAAAACCTTTGGGACATGCTCCAGACCCAAACTACTGAGGTTATGAGAGATAAGCAAATTGCCTCAAATTTCTATCGCTTTGTGGGGAGGGTCAAGTTTTTATGATAAATTCTAACGGGAACCGATTTTTTGTTTGTTTTCTCTGCTCCTTCGCAGCACATACATCACTCACTTTGTCTATAAAGTTCCATGTGCATGAGTCTGAACTATCAAGATCTGTAAGCTCTTTCTCCTGTCCTACATCAGAATTTACCTCGGCAAGTTAGAAGTTTCCCCGGGGTTTTTATCACACAGTAGAAACTGTAGAAACATCCTATGCATCCACCCCACCCCAAGAAGGAACCAGACTCCCAGTAGTTTCAGTCACTCGAAGTGAAAGAATCAGGGGAGCTCTAGCTACCGAAGAGTAAAGGAAGATGTGATACCCAAGCGTTGTCTGTGCCACAAGAATGAGGAATATCCATATTAGGTAGCACATGGAATACAGGAAGACACTTTGGCAAAAATGAGAAGTGGATTATGGCATGATAATAAAGAACAGAGAAATGTGACTTTCAAATAACCCTGTGTTCTCGTGGAATGGGGAGACTAAAGCTTGTGCCCTCAGGTAGTCTGCGAGCCCTTCATTTGCAGCCATCAGTCTGTGCGTGCACACGGAAGTCTGGCTCATCAAGAAAAAGACACGCTTCTACTGATTATAAATACATATGGGATGTGTGACTCAGTCTCTCTTCTGGAAATGCTTCCAAGAACATATAAAGAACATTCCATGAACATAAAGAAATGCATAACATTAAGCTGTCAGAACATTTTCCTGACATTAAAAACTCTAAGATATTGCTCTAGCATAGTGTGCTATTTACAATGCTTCTCCTGTGTGCTTATGCCTTTGTTATAATCTGGGGTGTGAGGCCTCCCATCTAGGGCAGCAGTTCAGAGTACATGCTTATCAAGTGTGAGGCCATGGGTTTAGTCCTCACCATGGCCAAAACAAAAGACAAGAAGTCACAGCATCATTCCTACTGTTTGGTACTGTGCTACAGAAAAGACTCTTTGTTTCAAAGGCAGTCATCATTCTTCAGCAGCTTCTTCTCTGGTGACACAGCAACATGTTTGCAAGATGCCTGGCAGGACTGTCCACAAGTTGTGGTCAGAAATAAAGTGAGACTTCTAAAGTAAATGAGGCATAGCTCCTCATTAAAAAACAATCAAGCAAACTCAGAACATTAGGGAAACTGACTTCTGTTACCTCGGCACGTGTAGAATACAAAGGATGTCCTCATGATGGTTTTGCTTGCCTTGCTGAAGAAAAGCATGAATGCTTGTGCTTCCCAGAAGCCAAGATGGGAAATCAAACCCTGATATCAGAGCAACCCATGCAGTTGTAATATAAAGCATGACACATGCAGTTAAATCAGACTTTGGGAAGTTTAAATGGATTTTATAGGATATTACAGTACCCCAAACTCTGAGTATTTTATGTGACTCCTCAGTTAGAAATGAACTTGCAAAAAGAGTTTTATAGTGATCTCCTTGAATGCAGCATGTAGGAAAAAGATATGTCCTCCATCCAAAGCCTTGTAGGTAGCCTTTCACAGTGGTTTTATGTGTATTAGCTAAATCCAAATGCTCCTTAGCAACAAACTGGCAAGCCCACACAATAGATCAGTGCTCTTCAGTTGAAAGGGAAGGGACCATGGCTAATGAAGCAACATGGGGCAGTCGCAAATAGCTGTGCTAAGTGAATGAAGCCAAACAAAACAAATGTACAAGGTATGACATAACTATATAACAGTCTTGAAACTGCAAACTCAGTTGAGTGAAAAAAGGAAGATTAGTGAGGGCAACAGTTAGGGAGTCAGGGAAGATTAGGGAGAGAAAACTGTAAAGAACGGCTAGAAGGAAATATATATATTTCAGATGCCTATGGTAGTATGGCTGCATGGATACGTAAGTATATACATATGCACATCCATATATATATATGTATATACATATATGTGTGCGTATAAGTATATACTGATAAGTATGTGTATTACACACACATATATAACCATGTAATATACATATGTTTATACACTATACTTATAAATTGCATATTTAAGATACATGCAGTTTATTGTGCCAGCTCCATGTCAATAGATTGCTAAAGAAAGCATAACCCAAATTACTTCCTCACATGTATTCTCACCTCCCTAGCTCCTCCCTTTTTTATGACACTAGATTGGATAAAGCACGATGAGGGTCAAGTATAGTTACGTGTGGCTGACAAAAATAAGCAAGCTAGTAACATATGAAAAGAAGTTGTTTTGTTAAATAATGTGGGCATTACAAAACCAACCTTTATTTAAAAACTATAAGTATTGGGCCGGTGAGATGGCTCAGGCACCTAAGAGTACTTGGTGTAAGATGACAACCCTACTCCAACTGCCAGGACCCACACGGTAGGGGAGAACCAACTCTAATGAGTTGTCTTCTAGCTTCCACACACAAGGGTTGGCATAAAATAAAAATACTATTTTCTTGTAGGCTTACAGGTGATCTTTATTTCCTTGTATATCTTGTGCCCAATCTAAATCAGTTAGAAGGGAAACCAAGAACTCTGGGAATCATGAAACCTAAGCATCCTGTATTAAGTTGCAGTTTCAGAGAATGGACTGTCACTTGCTTAGTTAAGTTTTGGGACTGGCATTAGGCCACCAACAGGCTTCAGGCACTCCACTGTAGCATCGCAAGCTTTTGGGAATGTATTTTTCACTAGCTCTGATGTTTCACACGCCATTTTTTTCCTCTCACCTTTAGCTAGAAGACGAAATTACAACATTACGACAAGTTTTGTCAGCAAAAGAAAGACATCTGGTTGAGATCAAACAGAAACTTGGCATGAACCTGATGAACGAGTTAAAGCAGAACTTCAGCAGAAGCTGGCATGATATGCAGACCACAACTGCGTGAGTATATCAGTAGGACTTCAGTAAGTTAGGGAGTCTGCTGTCTTGACACTCTTCTGTGTTTCCTCTGGATTTTTCTACAAGGTTGATTTGGTGCTTGTATGTATGAAGAAGGTATTGTCTTTAGGAGCAGAGGAAAGAAATATGAATGGTAAGCATGTTGCATGTAAAGCAAACTATAAAAGAACTTCCTGTAATAAGCCTGTGCTGACAAAAAACTCTTAATTCCGGGATCTAAGGATGTAGCCAAGCTGGTTAAGTACTCGCCTAAATACAGGAGACCCTGGGTTCATTCTCTTACACAGCATGGAAGTGTAATGGGCTTTCTTTCCCTTCTAGCCCGGGGAGGTAGAGGAAGGAGGATCAGAAACTCAAGGTCATCCTCAGCTACATAATAAGTTAGATGCCAGCCTGTGAGACACCAGACCCCACCTCAAAAGCAAACAACCAACTCAAGCTCAAATTCCTTTTAGACTGATTTCTGTTTCATTTATAAACTTCATTGTAAAAATTTTGCAGAAGAAAACCACACTGAAATTAACCAGATCCATATATCTCAGTGAACTTCTATGCAGTTAGAATAGTCATCTGAAAAAGAAGCTACATTCAATGGATTTTATATTTTCATGATCAAATATTTTTTATACGCCTATCGACTACTAAAACTAAAAATTCCATGACAGAGTTAGAACTCTTTCATAACTTATGCCCATTATTTGCATTTAGGCTTTCTTTTTTCTTTTTATTTACATGTTATGTCCCCACACACATATTTGGTTTTGGGTAGATTATGGGGAATGAAGTATTTTTATTTCAGAGATTGTGTGACCTCACTTAACATTATACATTCTAAGACCATACATTTTCCTATAAATTTTGTGATCAATTTCCTTTTCAGCTAAATAATATTCTACTACATCCAACCTATATCTACCTGTCTATGAAAATCTGCTATGGATACACATGTAAATATATGTATGTACCCACTATATGTACATGTATAAGCATGTATGTGCACACATCTGTGTATATGAACACATATATGCCAATATGTGTGTATGTGCATATACATGCACATGTATATACATACATACATGTATGTGCATAGTATCATCCATTTATCTGTTGATGGACAATTAGATGGATTCCAACTCTTTGCTATGGTAAATAAGACAGCAATGAACATGGGATGCACCTATCTCTGTGGTAGGTTATGGAATTCTGTGGCTATGCCCAGGAGTAATAGCAGGATCATATGATAGTTCTATTTTTAATACTTGGGGAAATCTCTTTTTAATTTTTTAAATTTTTTATTCATTTTACATACCAACTACAGTTTCCCCTTTCTCCTCTCCTTCAGCTCCCCCTCACACCTCTCCCCAACCCCCCATCTACTCCTCAGAAAGGGTAGGGAGTCAACAAAGCTTAGCACAAAACTGATTTCCGCCATGGCTATATTAATTTGTACCCCACTAAGACAGAATAAGATTCCTATCTCTCCACATCCTTTCCAACATTTGTTGTCAGATTTACTGATGCGAGGCATTCTGATTGGCATGATTAAGTATCTTGTGTCTGCTGAGAACTGACAAAAGCTTCCCAGGAAACTGGGTGCTGCTTCTTTTCACTCTTGTATCTCTTTCTGATCCTGTAACTTTGGTGATTGTGTGTTATCATGGGATGGAAAGGCCAGGAAACTTGGCTTTGGGATGAGATAGTAGTAAAGTTAGAGCTGCTTAATCCATCTCACATCCAACCAGCTTTAGCTAGCCCACCTGAAGAGGGTCTCCTGAAATTCAGGCATCTTTGGCTGGCATGTTTTGAAGTTAGCTGTTTTCCTGCATCACCTTCTGTCTTATCTTCTGAGCCAATGTCACCTACTGGACTGGAGCTTATTAATTCATATTGTCAGTGAACTCTGGGAATCTCTCGGTCCCTCCCTCACCAGCAGTTGGGGGACAGATGCAAGCTGCTGTGCTCAATTTGTTGGTAGATAGATACTTAGAGAAGGATACAAACCCAAGTGCTCATACTTCAGTAGTAGGTACTTCCCCAGCTGAACCATCTCCTCATCTTTTCTGAGAAACTGTAACTATGCATTTTCAATTAATGTAAGAAACTCATTCACAGTTCTTGTACAGATTGTGGGAAGCTAACTAAAATGAAAGCTGTTGCCTCTAATCTTTGGGAATATTCCTTATGTTTCTTTTGTAGTGAACATTTAAAGTTGGGTTTCCACCTACAAGTTATTTGGCTTGCAACACTCTTATTTTATAAAGGTGAACATACTGGATTTTTAAACAAACATATGTGAGATGTTTAGCTATGGCTCTTTTTAGAAATATTTTTGTTGAGACTTTATGTAAACTACTTGAAAATAAAAAAATAAATACAATTTCACACACTACAATTGACTAGACCCAAAGTCCAAATATAGCTCTTCTTGATGACTAAAATGTTTCCTTGTTAGGTGCTCTTATATGAAAAAGGTTTTTACATATAAGTTTTACATATAAGATTTCCTTCTTTTTGTGTGTGGAGTACTAGTGGCTGATGGGAAATCAGAAAGGCTTCCTGTCCAAAACCTTGATTAACTTTGGCCCCAAGGTCAGCCACTGAGAATTCTTTTGCCTTTGAGGTATGCATTGCTTCCCTGCTTCATTCATTAGCATGTAAAGATACTGCCTTCACATATGTCTAGTGCCTATGTGGACATCAGTTTTTTTCTCTTTACAGTTCTTTGCCTCTAGGCTTAGTGTCTAGTAGTATGACGTAATGCCGATGATTGACAGCAATTATTTCAGGTTTTGTGAGATACTAATTTCACCTGCTAGTTCTTAAGCACTAATGTTCAAAACCTTTTGGTGCTGTGGAAGATGCCCTTGTATGAGGAGATGGACCTGAAAGTAGCCCAAGGCTCCCCAAAATAGCTGCCTCCATTCCCATTGGAACAGTTGTTTCTCTTCCCCCTGAAGTGTGGCTCATCTGCCCTTCAGCTTTCTGTGTGCAAACGCCCAAAGCTCCATCTAGCAAGGATGCATCTTAGAGGAAGACAGCCAGGAGTCAGGGTTTTCCAAGTTCCTGTCCAGAAGCTAAGGAACCTTCCCTCATCAGATGATAATAGCTGCAAAAAGGTTATAAACCACACACATGTATGTATCAACTGAAAATAAGTACTGCAGCAACACCATATGAACAACCTCCAGAAACCAGAAAAGGACAGTGGAGTATTAGACACTAGATTAATAAGCTTATCTATCAATAGTCTGGGCTTCGATCTTTGCCCTGTGAATTGCCCTGACCGTGTGTGGCTGAACGTGCTCCAGTTTCCCTGGGTCTGGTTCCTCTGCATTGGATTTAGATTTCTGGGTTTCAAGTCATACTGATCAAAACTTCCCTCTATGGTATAGGAATAGGAAGGGTTGCTTCATCTGGCCTCCCGAATTCACTCCAGGGATTACTAAATGTGAGCAGCGTAGTCTTATGGCTGAAGATGAGGAGGAAGAATAGGAAGGAATAGCTGTGTAGGGTGTGTCCAGTGTGCCAAGCTGTGATGGGGCAGGAAAAGGAGAGAGGCGTATGTATCCTGGAGTGTGGAATCACAGGAAGGCTGGTTTCAGGAAGCCTTCAAGCCTATTCATACAGTGATGAATGGGTAGTCTCTGTTCTTTCATGTCTGAAGAACAAATGGGTATAGCCGAGCAGTCTACTGGGTGTAAAACTTGTTGCTCGGGGAATAGCACAGATTTAGTCCCCGGGGTTATAGAATCAGAAAGATAAGGGTTTTGTTTGGTTGGTTCACAGGGAGGTGTGGGAGTATGAAGCAGAGCAGGAGCTCTGCCTGGGGATATTGCCACTCCAGGGGTTGTGCAAAGCGGGATTTCCAAGGAGTCCTCAGAATGTAATCTGTCCAAGAAGGACAGGTGGTGTCTCTTGAGGGTGACACATACTGCTCATGGCACAGCAGGACAGCAGGCTCTACTCCCAAGAAGAACATTCAGTTAGTTAGTGTGCTTGGTTTGGGAGAAGGGGCAGGTACTTCTATTGATAGAGTTACCTTTTTTTCTGCAGGGAACAGAAAGTCATTAAAGGGTCCTACGCAGTCATTTATCCAACAAGTGCTAAGGAATGTCTGCTATTATTATATGTACAAGCTAATCTAGACCTTAGAATAACAGGATTGACAAGGTGTCTACCTTTCTTTCAGTGTGGAAAGGGAACAAGCAAGAAGCGAGTGATAAAAGTGGACTTACTAGGACAGGTAGGGCTTACCAGGATTTGCTGTGAGGACAACAGTAGAGGGTGATCTGCCAGTTAGAACACTTGGAGGAGAGGGTTGGAGCTGCTTAGATGGAGTTCCAGGCAGGACAATCTTGTTCTGGACTCTGATTCCAGCGCTAAATAATCTAGAGAAGAATTTCCAGGCTGAGAAAAAGTGGATACCAAGACTCTGAGGCATGGACTAGTTTTGAAGTTTGGGGTGGGGAGGGCAAAAGGCATGTGTTATGGAAGTCTAGAGTGTATGTGGTGTGCTGAGATGACAGAAAATCACTGAGGCCTCTAGAGCAAGTGAGAATTCGGTGCCAATGTCTTCGGATGCTGCTGCTGGAAAGTTTGGACCAGGAAATGGCCCCGGGCTGACTCACATTTATGGGTCATTTCCATTAGATTACATAATAGATTGTGGAGGAGTATGGGTAGGAATTGGAAAATCATTTATAAGACTCGTAAGCAAGAGACATGGAGAGCAGGAGAAGGACTTGGAAGTCAGTCTGTCAAGAAATCCCAATAGTTTGTAGGCAGATGATGATGAGGGAAACAAAGTGATGGAATGTAACTCGCATGGATGCTTGGACTACACAGTATCCATTCTGCTCACTTCAATGTCAGTATAGCATTGCTGTGACTCTTGTGGACTACAGTTATTACAGCCTGGATTCTGTGTACACAGGGAAGAAGACCATGTCAGTACCAATGTGATAGGTTGTGATGGCTCAGTG